GTCACACCACCGGCCACTCCCATCCTCCATCTAGGGCAGGGTTTGGGGGGGGGTGGGGTGGGAGTGGAGTCTTGTTCCCACCCATTTTCCATCGGCTGCAGCTGCAAAATGCCACCTCCCCCCACCCCCGAAAAACACCCAACTTGGTTGAGCACCTACTATGTGTCAGACTTGAGATGGCACTTTTCTCTGCCTTCTCATTCAGTCCTTGCAAGTGCTCGGGGAAATGAGGCGACCCCATTCCACAGATGGGGAAACAGAGGCTCAGAGAGGGATGGACTTGTCCAAGGTCACACAGCCACCAAGCAGGTGACGGTGACAAGAATCCGGGTCTGGGGTTCTTGTTAGACCGCCCTACTTTGGCCTGACCCGAAGGCTCCCCTCGGTCCCCGTCCCATGCGCGGATGGCTTCTTTATGTTTTGTTTTCTCGATTCTGTTAAATTTTACATATATCAAAGGCCCTGAAGTCAAAGGTCCCCATCAGCAAAGTTTACGAAGAAGATGTACGGCTATAAAGGGAGAGGTGGGTAAAAGGGAGCCTGCTCCATTCTCGTATTCCTTAAACACCTCAGAATCTGCCTCAGAAAAGCTCCCGTTCCAACTGAGAAATGCGTGTTCGGACCCAGCCGGAGCATCTGTCTCTGGTACACAGCTTTCTGGAAGCTCTAGCCCTGCTCAGACATCTGGAAGGATCTAAACTGGAATGCTTCGCATATTTCCAGACTAACTGAATAACCGAGCCGTTCCTTTGGGTTTGTTCTGTTCCTCAGATAACGGGAATCATCTAGGGGGTGGACCAGGGTATACCTCCCGTCACGCGTTAGCTCGGTGTTTAAGACCTGTTTATTATCGCCCGCCTGTGCTGTCCCAGGTCTGGAGACCAGAGGTGACATGAAGCCTCGGCCCTGCCTTCCTGAGGCTCACGGTCCAGGGAAGAGAGACACACCGACGGAGAGGGAGTAGGCGAGAATAGAGGCTGCAGAGGTGGCTGTGTCCGTCCAGCTGCAAAGCTGGTCTTTTCCCAGCTCAAGCAGTCTTGCCAGGGAAAATCTTCTGTTTTAAGTTTGTCTCCTCTCAATTCTTTTTACCGGCCCCTCCTCTCTCCCTGCACCCAGGCACCTGCTGCCTTTTGCCTATGGCAAAGCCTAGCAGGTACCCAAACAGATGAGTAAAAGGTAATCAGATATGGGCAGGGAAATCTGCAAACCACAAGTCTGGACAGTTCGCTCTTTTTTTTTAATGGATTGCATGACCATGACTGTGACTTTATCACGCGTGCTCACAATATGGCCTTGTTTCCTGCTATAATACTTTCTCCTGGTTCCCAGGACAGACGTCACTGTATCAAATGATCCTGGTGCCCTACTGAGGGCCCTATGGCTTCTGGGGGCTCTGTTGTTGGAACATCCTCAAGAGCTGTTGTTTTGGAAGATGGAGGTCAAGCCCTAGCCTTGCCCTTCACTGGCTGTGTGGTCTTTGAGGAGTTTCTCTGCTTCTCTGGGCCTCCATGAACTCACATACTAATTAGGAATGATATCATCTACCTTGGACGGTTCCTGGAAGGATTAAAGGAGAGAACCATAAAATTACCTGGCAGACAGTCAATGCGTAATGAGTGTAGCTACATGATCACTTCTTCAAGCCATTGTCCCTTGCATATTTCTGAGCACCTACGTCCGGGACAGGCCCTGTGCCGGATGCTGGGCACGCAGGTGAATCGGGCCTGGCAACTACGAAGCACAATCTAAAGTTTGGGGGATTATTTCACT